GGGCTCTTTTCGTGCCGTCTTCAACCTCCGAGGGCCAAGTTTGATTTCCAGGAGCATGGCCTATAGAATCTTATTTAACTTTAATGAAACTCCAATTGGGTCCTTCTGCGCCTGCATCCGTACAAGTCGTGGCGATGTACAGACCCGGAAGCGAGCGGACCAATGAGCCGAAACCACGAAAGCAAAGCAGAGGACAGAGATTACGATTAAATGCATGCAGCCTCAGAGCCCGAGCTCCTTCCGAAAAAGCCCATCTCAGCCTGTCTGTCCCTCCCCCCCCCCCCCCCCCCCCCCCCCCCCATCTCGCCTTCTAGGACAAGGAGGTGAATCTGGAGCAGGTACACCGGCGTATGAACAGCCTTTTGGACGAGGACATGGCTCACAAGCAGATCCCCACCCCGTCTATCGAGATCTCTGCACTGGACATCGGCAGCATGCAGCCCAGCCTGCCGCTGGAGGCCGTGCGGGACTTCCCCGGCACGGGGCTGTCTGTGAGCACCTTCCTTCCAGAGCAGGCACATGGGGTGGGGCGGACGCTGGTGCAGACCCCTGGGAGCACTCTGCCATTGCCTCTGAGCAGCTCAACCATCCCCTCCATGCAGTGCAAGCACAGATCCCCCAACGGGGGCCTGTTTCGCCAGAGTCCCGTCAAGACGCCCATGCCAGTGTCATATCAGTCAGTTCCCGGAGGACCCATCCCAGAAGCCATTGAGCCCACGCACAGTACTTCCATCTGACCTCGTCCATAACCCCCGGCTCCTCTGTCCTCGTCCCGGTGAAAGAGAGCAAGAACCCACCCCATCTCACCCCAAAAAAAAAGGGAAAGGAAAAAAGGAAGAAAAAAAAAAGAGCGAAGATTTTTATTACCTGTTCAAAAATGACAAACAAAGAAAATGAATAACTATCTGTGTACATATCTGTAAATACTGACAGAATGAAGTGAGGTAAAAGTGTATTTTGAATATTCTCAATTTTTGAAGTTGAGTTAAAAAAACAAAAAGAGATAAAAAATTATCAAAAAAACGACTGTTTGAATGGCTTTGTAAATTTTGTTCTATATAAATAAAGAAGCGAATTCCTTGTGATTGTTTTCTAAGTGCCAAGCTGAAAAACGTCTTTCTATGAAATCATTATCAGATGACAGTAGGCTGTAGTGACTTTAAGAGGAGCACCAACAGTATGCACTTCCATCAAATTTATGGATCTCTGCTTCAGTATCAAAGGAAGATATTTTTACTCTGTTTTATTAGTTTCCTCTAAACTGTATTATGGATCGATAAAAAATATTACATTGTTGTTCCCCATCGCAAAAAGAGCAAATCGGTGATGATGAATTGAAGATAGCAAGCCTTTGCTTATGAAATCAGTCTGGCGTGGGGCTGTTTTTATGCATTTGAATTTCAAATCAGTTTGTTAAAGTCCATTCAATTATGCTGTCAAAAAGTCAGGCAGTGTGGCTTCAAGCCAATACAGCCCATTCTTCCTCCTGAAGCTCCTAATTCAAATATGTGTGTCATCTTGATAATATGCTGGTTTTAAGTGGATCCTTCCCATCTGGTGCAATCGTGAGACAGGTTTCGTCATTCCAGAATCAGAAACCTCACTGCTAAATGTTGATGACGGTCCAAAGGTAGAGTCCTTGAGGAAGCGCAGCCACAAAGTAGCACGCCAACAATTACGCAGAGTGCTGTTGTACAGGCTATTCTAGCTAATTCATTCACGATTGGGAAAAAGTTTTGCCCAGATCCCGAAAAAAAAAATGCGACACCGTTAAAAGCAAGCAATTCGTGAAGAAATTAGCTGGAATGAACAAGGGTTCCTTTTATACTGAAGACTTTTCCCAAAAGTTGTGTACTGTATACTGCAAGATCGTTTATTTACGGAGCTTTATTTTAAAAATCAATCGTGGAATCACTCTTGCGTAATGCTAGCAACTCCACAAAGGTCAATACAAAACTGAGAGACATTTGATATGTACTAGGGATTATATTGATAAATAAGAAAACAGCTGTAAACGCTAAATAATAATGTCTTACTTGGTTGCCATGTGTTTTTTTTTTTTACATATAGTTTAGAAGGTATGCTTAACAGATGACTATTTTTCCATCCATTTTCCAAATTCCTGTGGGTAATAGATTGAATATACAAATCAGTAGTAGCTGAGTAACTAAAATAGTAAAAAAAAAAAAGTAAACCAATGACCTTTAACAATAGTTTCATAAGTGCAATTAAAATGTCATCTTAGTTTATGTATGGGTTATTTATTTCAAATTGTACATTTTGCCTTGCAGACGTTTTTTTCTGTTGGTTTGTTTTTTTTTTAGTGTTTATTCATCTAAAGCTCCATTGATGTATTAATAAGAAGAGAGTGATTACTCATTGTTTGCATTACGCAGTCGGGATCTACCATCCTGCGTTAAATGTCCGTCCACTGCCTCGGGTCACGCTCCGGAAGATGAAACGCTCGTGTTTTTGCATCATGTCAGTGGGACAGACAGGCAGAGCAGAAATGCCTCTGTACTGACGTGAGAATAAAGGGGACTATTGTAGTTCAAAGCGAGTGCATCGTGCTCCTGCCTGTTTCATTCAGCTCCGGGGGGGTCACTGCCCAAGCTTATTGCGACACGTTATGGACGTGAACCGAAGCGAGTTGGTTTGCGCCACACGTGACCACTGCAGCGGCTTTGGAAGGAGCCGGACGCCCCAAGGGACTTTCCACGTGTCTGTAGGTTCGAGCGCATCCTCACTGCCTTACTCCCCCGTGTTCCCTTGATCTGGGAAAAAAAAATATTCAAACATTCACCAAAATATACAAAATCCATCGCAGTAGTCTGGAAAATCTAAGGGAGACTCTTATTTTATTTATGAATATGCTGCTTGGAGTTTCTTAATCTTTAATAAAGAAATATGGCTAAAATGTTTGTGGATTTTGTTTCAGTATTTTAGTGGTGATTCCTGAAGAGGCCGATGACAACAACATCCGTTGCAACAATTGTCATGTTCTTAGAAATGTCAGCTGTTGTGTTTTCGCAGGCTTTCATGGCACAAATGATAATAAATTATAATGTGTTTAAAAAATAATGCACTGACTAGTAAACTTATGAGAACAGAATCAACACGATACGGATCATTTGAGTGATTGTGTGCAGAAAAAAAAAACAATGGAATCTAAAGTTTTATTTGGCATGAAAGGTAAATTTTCTGCCTTAGGAGGCCTTTAAAGTATATAGTCTAGAACTTTCCATCCTATGAAACAGCTTATTGGAACAGAATGAAAAGGACAGGGTGTGCTTATGCCCAACAGCTGCGGAATTTGAGTTTAAGGGGGGGAATTTGCTACGTTTATGCTTTATCATGTGTTCCTGCTGTGACCCTTAGGGGGCGATGTAATACAGAGACTGCCCTCCGGAGACTGGCGATAACGGTGATTCAGGGATGTCACCGAGGAAACGATCGCAGACGAAATCAGCAAATGAAAACCTGTTTGCTCATCGCCGTAGCCTCTGTGTTGGGTGCACATGGCCCTTAATTACATCTCCGTTGCTGCTGGTCCTCCCAACTTTGGGATGACAGAAGACCAGAATGTTCCAGCTGATCTCATTATTAACATTCCATAAAATTAGGTTTTCCTGCAGGCTCATAAATAAGGCGCATTTCTTTGTTGATCGAGCGTGCTTCACTAGACTCTGAACGCACTTATCGCTGAGAATCCCCCCCCCCCCCCCAGTTGAGCGTAAAGTCGCTGTCTTTGGTTACCGGCGGTAACCATAAACGGCGTTGACTGTTTGAAGCCCTCGCATTTCATCCCGGCCGCCGCAGATAAGCAGCGGGGGGAGAGACGCCGGTTCGGAAGAGGCAGTGCTCAGCTGCCCAGATGCGCCCCCATGCCTGATCGCCAGCTTTGCCCTTACAGCGCTCAGTGTTTCGAGCAGCACCCGAGCTGCGGTGCCACCAGTTGTGGCGCCGTTGGCGATGGCAGCACGGACAGCCGAGGGCGCGTCCCTGCTGAAGATAAATGCCATGCAGTTATCGCGCGACTTTGCTAATTACCGTGGATAGAGGTTCCTGCCAAGCTGTGGGTGATGGAGGGAGGGGGCATTGGAGGAAGGGCCCTGACCTTCTACATCGCCATGATGGCTGAAGATGCCAATTATTGAAAAAGAAGCTGTGAGAGAGGTTGAGACGTGAAGGAGAGTGTGGAGATATATCAGGAACATGGGTTTTACACTTAGGCTGGCAGGGAATGCTACTCCCAATCAGCACATCCCAGTATTAGTCTGGACTTTGCGCTCCCTTTCATTTAGTGGTGTTTAATGTAGACCACCATTCACAGAAGCTTCACACGCGGCACCTCTTCGTCTTGCAAGTCCCACATGATCCGGGCCTAAGACCCTCCAGAACTGGAGATAAATTTAACCGTAAACTGCCTGCTGTAACTGACATAACTCCCCCTGCACCTCGAGAATGTGCTGGAACGTTCCGGAAAGACACATGCAATGTGACATTCTCTGCACATTCTTCAGTGGGAGTCAGCAGACATGAGGATCTAATTAATTATAAACTATAAATTGGAATGGAAACTGCAGCAGCGTGTTATTATGGAATAATATAATGTTCGCATTGATCGTGTAACGAAAGACGACATTTATTTGTAAATAGGAAATGCCCTACTTAAGCGAGAGTATCAGCAAACGTGCTTTTTCTTGGTTTCAGTATAAAAGCAAAGTCATCTGTTCACATCTTACAGCAGACAGTAAAACATCTCGTAATTGTTCCTGTTTTCTGGAGAGTGTGAGGGGAAACATTAATTAATCTCTGCACCTCTTCGGCGTTGACGTATTAGCAGGTGCCGGCGTGTGGCGGGCGGGAATGCGCAGTGCGGTCTCTGCACGCCGCGCGGCGCGGGGACGCGGTAAGAGAGCGCGTGCCGCTGGCTCCTGCACTCGGGTGTCACGGCCGCCGTTAACCCGGCCTCCCATTTAGCTCCTCTCACCGTTCCTGTCAGCCGGAGGGCGCCCCCACACCCACCTGCTGCCTGTAGAAAGCGGCGGCTCATTAGCCTAGCCGAGACGAGCGCGGGGCTTTGAATGGCCTCAGTAGGGGAGGGGTGAGGAAGCAGGGTGACGGGGGGGGCTGGTGATTTCTTTCTCTTTTTGGATACTGTTTTGCAGATGTTGGTTATTAAAACCTGTAACGCTCAATTGTCCTGCTCTGATTATTGCCCCCCCCCCCCCCCCCCCCCCCCCCCCTAGTGTTCACAGAAGACCAAGGTGATCTGGAGGCTTTCCCAGGAAGGACAGAAGGCAGGAAACAATCTGGCTGGCCTGCCATCATGGATTCTTGCTCACTTCAGCACTATTAGGTTAATTATCACCTACAGATTCGGCCATAATCGCAGGTCTTCAGACTGTAACCTGAGGCACCCCTTGAAAGCGGAGAGATCAGCCGTGTCCGAACCCACGACACCAGAGGTGCTGCGGCAATGCCATCCTCTGGCAAAGCCACCCAGCGTGCCATCCGTCCTCATCCGTCGGCCGGGGCTTTGCGGGGACGACTCGCATCCCGAGTATCCGCTGGTGCCAGGTGCAGAATCGCCTCATGGGCTTCCATCCAGACGCTCTTCATTATGGGCTGACACCGCGCGTGCTTCCCGGGGGCCCAGGGCGGGGGCCCGTTCCGGGGACTGCCAATTACCCTGGAGCGAATGGAAGCAGGATTGTGGCGTGGGGTGTCACCTGTCCCCCATGCTTAAGATCACGCCGCACATGCCTTAGTGGGGCCTTCCCGAGATTCCAAGGCGGCAAAAATGGCTACATTGCACATTGCCGAGCCTGTGCCCCCCCCCCACAGTGCCGCTCAGCCATGC